AAAGAATGCCTTATTACAATCAGAGAAGATTTTGATAGGTGAGCACACTCAATTTAAAGAATATAAATGACACAAAAAGCAGAATAAATTACCTTGACATAATTCTTGGCTCAAGTAAAAGTCAGACAGTAGCTGAAATTTTAATAGTGGAATAACTTCTAAGGGATAAACTTTAACTTATATTAAACTTTAATCATAATAGCTACAGAGATGAAAGCTAAAAAAATTATTAAAATTACTAAGCAAAAGCACACTAGCCCTGGTCCTTGTACTGGACGTTTAAATTGGTTTCTTTATCTATAGTGAATATAAAGAGGTCTGTGAACCATGTGATTTCTTCCTTACAGAAATTTGTCTCTTTAACTTGGATGACTCTGCCCAGAAACCCATGCAATTTATTAAGCCCAGATAGAAGTTGGTGAAGAAGGAATATGAAAATGCCAAGCAAGATCCTGATATGTTTTCTTAAAAATAGTCTACCTAAATGAATAAAATTATCAGTATAGCTGTCACTTAAGAAAAATGTGGTAAGCCACACAAAATTGAAAAGGAAATTGGAATTACTGGAAGGTTGATAAAGATAAATAAATCTGGAGGAATATACCTTGACCATCTGTAGTATCAATTTCCAAAAAAAGAAAAAGAAAAAAACCCATAAATTGTGTTTCGATGTTGCAAATAATGTCTATCTTGACCAGTTTTAATAGTTCTCTTATAAGTAAGTGACAAGTAGACTACTGTAAAACCTAGGAAAAAAAGTGGAGGTTAGTCAGTTTCAAGACAGCTACCATAAGACGGAATCAATCTTTTTCTTTCTCTCTCAATCTCTCCCCAGCCCTCCTCTCTCTGTCTTCCCTAAGGTGGGTTATGAGTTACTAAAACACATCCAATATAATGCTGACCATCTGCACAACCAAAAAATCTCAATATGAAGATGTTAGGTCATTAAAAGGAGAAAGTATTTCTGGAGACGGGAGATCTTCGGTATTCATAATATACCTAAAATTACGAAACGTAGATACAGGTCTATGCCAGTTGCCCATAGGACCAGTGTTGATAGCATGCATTCAGTGAAGAAAATATAATTTATAATTTTCTTCATGTTTCAACTTAATATAGAGTGAGTCAGTACAAGAGAATTTTGATTCAATACAACCAAATGAGCAGATCTTTATAATTTATACTGGTTTATTAAGATGGTCCCTATAATTGAATTGAGGATTATTACTGACCCTAGGATAGTGCATATTCACTATTCACAACAGAAAATCAGAAAGAGCAATTCAATTAATCTTCAGGTTATAGACAAAATCTTAGCTAAAAATTTTTAGGATACCTTAGAAGCATTTTATTTGATGGGATAAAAGGCAAAACTTGTGACTTATATCATTGTGTCAGCACATTTCATCAGCAAGGGTTTTCAAATTAGAACTGCAATTTGGGCTACTTTGTAGGGTGTGACAATATTCTACAAAGGAAAAACTGAATCCCAGAGGGAAAATCAAATTATAGTTTTAAAAACTCATTACCAATAATTAATAATGAACTCTAGCTAAACAATAACAGGTGTTCCACTAATCCCAAACAGAAACAGATGGAAGCACAAATGTTTTATAAACAGTGGATACATGCAGAGCAATAAACTTGGCAAGAATTGTCTTATTCTTTAATTGTCAGTCAGAGTCAATGTCTCATCACTTACATTTTCTCTAAATTAATATACCCAGATTAAATCTGTGTTTCTCATTCCTTATTTTTGAAAACGCAAGTCATATTTAGGGCTTTTTCACTCCATGTTTTGTATTGCCACACTGACAAAGAATATTCCTGAACTTTGTTTAGGTACATTTACATGACATCATATCGTTTATTAAATGAAACAACAGGCATACTACAAAGGCTTCCCTTCTCTCCCTTCTTCCTTTCCAACTCCTGGACAAGAAATACTCGCTTTTCAAGTATTTCTTTCATTTCTTAAACCTTCAAAATAATGAATGTAGGTAGGTTAAATAAATTAAGAAGTCAATTAGTAAGTCAATTAACGATACAAAGAAATCTAATCCTATAGAACTGGGAATTATTTTTAGGGGTTGGAATACTCGATAGTGTGTAGATCTGAACTTAGGACTTTTTAGAGTATGTTTGCATATGCCTTTAGAAGGGTTCTCTGTGTAGTCAATAAAAAATCATCTTTGCTTCATGCATAGATGATTTTATTATTTCTTCTGACCTTACTCTGTTAGATTTTCAGAAAGAAATGATTGGTATTGTGACTGTTAAACTACTAGCATCCCTCACTGAATTTCTTAGTGCATGGTTCTCTGTGTCCTGAGACTTTCTTAGGAATTATATTTTATGATCAATAAATAACTACTACGAATTATTTCAGTGGGACAGAAAATACATTATTCTCTTCAGGTAATGAAATTTTAAAACTAATGGAATGTGAAGAAAATAATACATGTTAGTCATTTATTAATTCGTGATCATCAGCAACATAGATTCATCTCATCTCATATGTAAGTAAACACCTAGTTGACTTTATAAAAATTATGTGTAGAGTATGACTTTCTTGAACCAACACAGGTGAACAAAATGGTCAGCACACCTCTGACCTAAAATTGAACTTTTGGTCTTTTGAGACGGAGTCTTGCTCTGTCACCCAGGTTGGAATTCTGGGGCAAGATCTCAACTTACTGCAACTTCTGCCTCTCAGGTTCAAGCAATTCTCCTACCTCAGCCTCCCAAGTGGCTGGGATTACAGGGACCCACCACCACATCTGGCTAATTTTTGTATTTTTAGTAGAGACAGAGTTTCACCATGTTGGCCAGGCTGGTCTCAAACTCCTGACCTCAGGTGATCCACCCGCCTCAGTCTCCCGAAGTGCTTGCATTATAGGTGTGAGCCATCGAGCCCGACTAAATTGAACTTTTAAATTATTTATTTATTTTGAGATAGAGTCTCACCCTGTAGCCCAGAATGGAATGTGATGGTGCCATCATAGCTCATACACCCCTGCAGCCCCAACCTCCTGGGCTCAAGCAATCCTCCCACCTCACCGTACCAAGTAGCTGGGACAATGGGTACGTACCACCATGCCCAGATAATTTTTATTACCTTTTTGGCCAGTCGCAGTGGCTCACGCCTGTAATCCCAGCACTTTGGGAGGCCGAGTCGTGCAGATAACCTGAGGTCAGGAGTTCGAGACCATCCTGGCTAACATGGTAAAACCCTGTTTCTACTAAAAATACAAAACTTAGCTGAGTATGGTGGCAGGGGCCTGTAATCCCAGCTACTCAGGAGGCTGAAGTGGGAGAATCACTTGAACCCAGGAGGTAGAGGTTGCAGTGAGCCGAGATTGCACCATTGCACTCCAGCCTGAGTGACGAGAGTGAGTATCTGTCTCAAAAACAAAACAAAACCAAAACAAAAAAAAAAATTGTAGGGATCTGGTCTCTCTAGTTTGTCCAGGCTAGTCTCAAACTCCTGCGCTGAAGTGATTCTTCTGCCTCAGCTTCCTAAAGTGCTGGGATGACAGGTATAAGCCACCACACCCAGCCCTAACATTGAATTTTTGATATATACAGACTGAAACTTGTAAGTATTGAGAGGTTCTCTTCATGTAGGGAACTCACCAGGCAGGCGGTAGTGAAATGAATGAATTAAAGTTATAACATTTGTTTATAGTCACTAGATGGTTTGTCAACAATGCAAGGTTGTGACTGTGGTCTTCATTTTAAATGTAAGAACACTAAAGATGAGGTGGAGTTCAATTATTTGCTCAAGACCTAATACCAGAAAAGGATGGAGTTAAGAATTATCACTGTATTTCTATCCAAAGCCTTGTCTTTCCACCATATCACACTACCTTCCTGAAGGTTTATTTCCGATTATGCTATGTTACTATACACAAACATCGATAGTAATTAGCTTTACCTATTAAGTTGTAATATTTCACGATTTTCCTCCTCATTTAAATTTCTTACTGAAAATGCAGAAGAAGGAAAAGAGGAGGAGGAGGAGGAAATTATTTAATTAGAATAAATTACTGGGATCAACATTTTCTGGAGTCAAAGGTTCTCATTGTCTAGTTTTCTAGAGCCTAGATGTGTTACCTATTTGTTTTAGAAATGAAATGTCTCTTTGACAACATACGCATAAATTATAATTATATATTTTAGAAAGGCTTTCACAAAAACAGTTAAGAAAATAAAAATATAGTGGATTTAAGCAATTAGCTTCATTTATTCTCATATAAATGAACTCCTTTCTTAACAATACTGTCTTCTTTGAAACATTTTCCCAAACATGAACATAGTTCTGTCCTTTTATAAATCTGCAAAAGGCATAGTACAAGCAATCAAGTTACTCATACTTAGTTCAGATGTTAGTAAAAAATACCTTTTTATACTCTAGACAACAATTAAAGATATAAGACAAGGTAGATATATTCCTTTAACTCAAAATCCTACCCCATTGTTTTGATATTAATTCCAAGTTTATCTATCTCCATCAATAGTTCTTTGGAGTGGCTAAACCGAGTTCATGTATAAGGGAGAAAATTTTAAAGTTATGCAAAACAAAGCGTAAATATTTGAAATGTGATGATTTTAATGTGAATTGTATTCACTACTAAGAAAAGAAAGATATTTTCATTGTCATGGGTCTTTTCTTCTAAGTTTACCAAGAATAAAATAAGATGATTCACTGCTTCACTTCAAGACATTATTAAAGATTTTAGCGTTCTTTATATAGAGAGATATTAGCACATATTTTACATTTCAGCTGACTTCATTTGCAATAGGCCATGCACTGACTGAAAGTAAAATTAAGACTTTAATGCAAGTTATTACCGCTGCTTTTTATTGGTTTTATTCTAGATCTACACATGCATTATGCAATTCTTAAAAAATGAAAATACAGTTAGGTACATAAAAAGCCAACAATCTTAGAAACAAAGACTATTAAAACAGACAAGTACAAGAATTGCTTGGAATACCTGGTTTTAAATCCCCATGGACAAACATGTCAATCATATATCGACAGAATGCATACTGATCTGACAGAGTAGAAAGAAAAAAAGCAATGAAAAAATGTCATCAACACGTCATTTTTCTACAGAGAAATGATTTAACAAAACAAACAAAATAGCACAATTCTATTTTGGTTACTACAATATTTTCTTTAAAAAAAATAATTTGCACTTATAGGAAAATACAGAAGGAAAGAAAGACAACAAATGTAATGTTTCATTTCTTCCATACAAAAATAACCTTAAAAACTGAAAAGGACCAGTTCAGTGTAATCTTATAGTGGTTGTTTTCAAAATAAAAATCTGTTTTGTAGAATAATTGATTACAAAAGTCATCATAGTAAAGCAATTTTTTCCCATTTGTCTTTTTATAAACTTTCAATAAAGAAACAGAAGTGTTACAAGAGGAAATTGTTTCCAACTTGGAGTGTTTTATCAAATACTCGGTCCCAGCCCTTCTGCTAATTGTCTCTATGGAGCTGCAGAATGTCTTTTCCAAAAGACCATCAGGAGAACTAACCTCTTTGCCACCTGTTAGGTGACCTCTGAATAAAAATGCTGTTTAATTGGGAGAGTAAATCAAGAACAGAGTAACAGAACCAAATAATATTGTTGTTAAACTAATCAAATGAGTAATCTTCTTAAGATCATCTTATGATCTTGACTGATTTATGGCCTATGGTGAAAGTAAACAAACAAACAAAAAAGAACATAGTATGTAAACATCATTTTGGGCAGACTTGGTCTTCAGGAGTTGGGTTTTTTCTATTGCCTCTAGATTAAAGACATTGCACTTAACTTTAAATCCTCACAGAACTTTAGATTCTCCTGAGGTCAACCCAACTCAAAGCTCAATCAATGAATCTTTACCGTATCTTCTTTAAAGCATACATATTATGAAATAATTTACATTTCAATATTCCTGAAATATGCATTTTATTAATCCACCAAATCCAAAGGTAGCTTCAGGACCAAGAGAGTTTATTGAATTTAAGCAACATGTTACAATCTTAATTGCTCCAAATTATGCATGTCAAACGTATGAAATAACAAAGCTTGTTACTAAACAGATACACCTATAAGGATTTTTATAAATCTCATTCTTTTGGAGTAGTAACAGCATTTTTAGAGGAATCCATTTTATTATGAAATTCTGTTAGGTCTTTGAAAATAAATATAGTTACTGAAGAAGATATAAAAATATAATATTTTTCATTAATACCTAAATATGGGCAGGCCAAAACTCATAAAGTTCCAAAAATTTAGATGTATTTTAGTTGTTGAATTTGTAGCATATTTTCCCACAGGAGAGGTAGGGAAAGGGAAGGCGGCTAGTCCTGAGGTCAGTCCATGCATTGATTTGCCCTTTGATGTACTGGCAGTAATAGCTGGAGTTTCTAATCCCAGGACCTGGGACCCCTATGATTGGGAAAGACATAAGGCTAAAGTAGAGAGTATTTTCTCTTTCCTAGACAAAAGACTGTTTTCCTGTGCAAAACTGTAGAAATGGCAACTTGACCCTAAGACAAAGCAAAATGAAAAAGTACATTTTGCTTAAATGAAAAGTTTGAAGTTAGACCAGTATGAACTTTTTGAAATTGGCAGTATGTTCCCTTTATTTCAGTACCTTAAGTGACTATACTATTTTTATATTTGTTCTCCTTATACTCTAGGAGTAGTACTCAAAGGGTAACTTAAACATGAGAAAGAGAGGGGAGTTGTCAAAATACATATTTTTGGGCTCCATCATCCACAAAATTTAAACGCCATAGATCTGGACCCTAGGAATATGCAATTTATACAAACTCCTTAGATGAATCTAAATAGACTGCATTTACAGAATCACTGATCTAAAATCTTTCATTCATTTTTCCCAAAATAATTACTCTTAAAGGCACTATAGACTCCCATGACAGCAAATAAGAGTGTTTGTTTTTATTTACGTTGGAAGTTTAAAATGCAGGGACCATTTGTAGTATAACATCTCCTCCAAATGAAATATTATCTGCCCCAAGTTGTGATGGGATGGTTATATACATAACATGTTGAACAATGTACTGAATTAATTAAAATCTTCACACTTCGGAGATTCTTCTTTAGCTGAACACTGACAATGTAATGAAACTTTTCAGCTTGTATGCTGAAATATTATCAAAGTACAGTCAGCCCTCCATTTCCCTGGGTTCCACATTTGAGCATTCAACAAACCACACGCCTGTAATCCCAGCACTTTGGGAGGCCAAGGTGGGAGGATCACTGTAGGTCAGGCGTTCAAGGCCAGCCTAGCCAACATAGTGAAACCTCGTCTCTACTAAAAATACAAAAACTATCTGGGCATGGTGGCGGGCACCTCTAATCCCAGCTACTTGGGAGGCTGAGACAGGAGAACCACTTGAACCCAGGAGGCAGAGGTTGCAGTGAGCCGAGATTGTGCCACTACACTCCAGCCTGGGTGACATAGTAAGACTCCGTCTCAAAACAAACAAACAAACATATATATATATATATATGGTTATGGCTATCATGTTGCATCTGTACTGAACATATACAGACGTTTTTCTTATTATTTACTAAACAATACAGTATAATAAGTATTTACAAAGCATTTATTAAATACATTAGGTAGTATAACTAATCTAGAGATGATTTAGTGTATACAAGAGGATGTGCATAGGTTATATGCAAATATTACTCAATTTTATATGAAAGACTCTGAACATCTGTGGATTTTGGTATCCACAGGGAATCCTGAAACCTATCCCCCACAGATACTGTGGGACAACTGTACCTTACTTATATTTCTTATATTTCCTAGATCCAAAAATCATTCATTTAATTAATACACCAACAGCCCAATGAACTTCTAATTATAAAAATGAAATTTCTCATGAAGTCATAGGATTTTTTTTAACCTAGAAAATTATTTGTTACAACACTTAGAAGGTTTTGTTATATGTAAATAGTGCTCTGATCTTGTATTCTAATGGCACCAATATATCAATAGGAATATGAGAAAGATGTTTTTATTCCTATCAAAGCTGATAGGAATTTTCAACTATTTTAAGTTAGGATGCCCATTTCCACCTGTCCTTGGCAATGACCTTAACAATGTATAAGAATTCTAGGTAGGTATGGGTTGGGAAGTCTCCAGTTTATTTGCTTAACCTATCTAAGAATACAGAAAAACCAAGCCTTCCTGATTTTGAAAGATTTGTTTTCTAAAAGTGTTTCTTTAAACCCAACTTAAATATCATAGCAGAAAACTTTTCATAAAGAAAATATAAATTGTCCTGCCATTCTAACTTTCATAGTTCTGAGATAATAATTTATATAATGTTAAATTTGCTCATCATTGTAAGCACTTTTTTCCCAAATAAACACCCTTCTTGGAATAACACATGCTGTCCTCCATTTTTCTCCTTGATCCTCAGGAAGCAGTGATACATGTCATTCAAAGGATACCTAGTTGGTGTTCCCTGTGGAGTGGTAACCAAGGGAAAATACATTCTGGGTGCAGAGTGTCAACAAAAACAAATTTAAAAAAATATGAAACCTCTAATGAGAATGGGGAACATGTGGTCCAGTGCTCTATAACAGATTCACATTAGCTATAATTTCTCTGCCTGCCACAAATATTTAAATAGTTGTTTAAAAAGAAAGAAAGAATGAATGAATGAGCAAAGTATGTGGCAGCTGAAAAATTTGTTTTTCCTTCCCCACGGACCTCCCAGAGGTCATCAGAAAACTAGGGAGCAATGTCTGATTATGCCAACTCTTCCTACTCTATATAAACAGATTTAGATGGGTTCATAAAAACTAGATTATTTGATACGTGTTTGTGTGTGTGTATGTGTGTGTGTGTGTGTGTGTGTTTTTATGGTAGGTGTGTATATACATATGCATCTTATCCCTAATGCTTCAAGCAGAAAAAGAGATGTATTATTTCCGTATACCATATTGAGAGTAACTACATTGAATATATTCACATGTATACTATGCAATTCAATAATTACTAATAAACATGTGCCATGTAAAAAATCTGTTTCCAAGTGAGTGAAGGACCTATGAGCTTTGTTTCTTTAAAAAGAAGTATTTAGAAATCTATATGAAAAGAATGCCTCAAACATATTAGGTCTAACTTAACTATGTGAATGAGTATTCTCTTGTCCAAAAAGCTAACTCAACAGTTATACTAAGTCATCATATAAAATTTTCAAAACCAAAGCATCAGAAATTAAAAAAAAAACTATATCTTTGTTTATCTTGTTTAGTTAAAATCATAATGTAATTAGCTTTCTTTAATTTAAAAATGCTCTTAATTAAATCTTTACTTAGTAAAAAATAAATGAAAAGTAAAATGACATATTTACATGTCTGATCTGCCATTAGAGGTTAAGTTTTGATTACTTACCTAATGACACATTTATATAATTGATGGCAACTGTTCTCAATACTGAGACTTGCTTTAGCAATTGCAATTGTTTAGCTGATAAAATCACATTTGTGCTTTTGTTTTTAACTCTAAAAGATATTTGAATGTCTTTTTAATAGATAAATAGCTCTTTGCATAGAAATAAAAATAGTAGACTGAAAATGGATATGGTAATATAATGCTGTCTTTAATAAATCTGATTACTGATAGAAATGAAATACAATATTTGTGGCCTGGAAAATAAATATTATTTTAAAGTGTTCTGGTGATGAGTTTTTATCAATAAAATATGGCTCCAAAATCCCCAAAGATATGAAAAATTAACATCAAAAAAATACATTCACATTCCTAGTTGCTAAATAAGTATTTTGACATTTCCAAATATAACTGGCATCAATTTTTACATTCTGTATTTATGGTTAAAAATTAGAATGTACTTTGTAGGTTTTCACTGATTTCATGTGATTATTTTTCTTTTTGAACAACCATCTAAAGTGTAAAGGATTTTAGGATCTAAGTAATCATACCAGTGAATCCAAAGATTATTTCGGCTGTTTTTTTTTTTTTTTTAAACCACAGTAAAATATTGTATTCAATGTATTTTCTCTTTATTTACTTCATTCTTTTTTCCTACCAAAATACATCATTAACGACAAAATTTTGATAGAAGTAATAATTAACTTTTACATTTTTTTCATGGTGATATAATCACCTTGAAAATTGGAAAAAGTTTTAGAGCTCCTAAATTTTAATATGACTTATAACTTAAAATATTAAGTAAATTAAAATTATCTAAATTAAAAAGTTTGTAGATAACTAAAAAAAGAAAAACTCTTTCCTTTTTAAAATATGTATCTTTTGTCGTATAAATCAGAGTTGACAAATACTACATGTGAATCGTTTACAAATGCAAATTCAAGAGAAAAAAGATGAAAATACAGTATGAGCGGATTGCAAATTTCATCCCTTGTCCCTTATAATGAAGAAAAATTAATTTCAGTTTCATCCTCTAAATAGCTTGCTCTGTAACAAAATTGTAAGATGTCTTAAACTAAAATCTAATAGAAACCAATTCTTTGACACAGTCCTTAGATAACATTAACCAAAAGTTCTGCAAAGTAAAGAAAAATTTGGTTTTGCAATGCCTCTAAGAAACATCAGTTATAGAAATAGTCCCTACATATTAGATGCCCGTATTCTGTAAAGGAGTCTCAGGATTATATAGCAACCTGGAGTCAGGAATGGACTTAGGAAAAGAAAGAGTCAACGAGTGCCAGAGATGTGGTACAATAAGACCCTTAGTTGCCCTCCTAAACCTTCAGCTCTGTATATTCACATAGCAACCTTCCATAAAAAAAAAAAAATTCAGGTTTATATTCCACCTGCATTTAAGTGCTATATTTTCGCAAAGTGGGGATGTAAGTTTGACATCACTCTTGCTGAAGAGTGGCACAATATGTCACATTCAGAGCTTTCTAAAGTTAGAAATTTAGTCAATGGAAACTGAAAAAGAATCTTGAGAGCTGTCTTCTCTATAACATCTTGCCTATTAAATAAATTTAAAAATTTGATGTATATTCTAAATGATGTGCTCTTGCCAATGCAACAGTAATGTATGGATAGTTTTTATGATATTTACTCTATATGATGCCAACATGTGCCCCTTAACAAACTCCTTAGGAATTGCTGTCATTTTGGGGGACCACTTTCCTCCAAAGAGTACGACATATGCAATCTTTATTCCACCTCTTAATAGACATTCTATATCTCAAAAATTCAACATTTATCCCTAATCTTTATATGATTTTGGATGCTACCTCCAAACCCCTTTTAAAAATATTTCAAAATGCCCCTTTAGATATGTGAACACATTTTAGTATTTTTATAAATAAACATTAATTTCCAATGTACTGTATTTCCTTTCTGATATATTTACTTTAATGTCTTTTACCCCCGTTTGAAGTCTGGTTTTGGTCTTTCTCAGCTTTTAATTTCACTGCATGTGCTTCTTGCCCAATATTCTCTTAGAACCTCTGGCAGCCTCCTGCTCTGAATGTTTACCTTTCTGTTCATGCTTTGACACAGCTGTTTTCTCTTTGTCCTCCTTTTCTTTGGGTTTTGATGGTGTTTTTTGTACTTCTTTTACTTTTGCAGCTGTTTGCTTCACTTTCTCCTGTTTTCCACCTTTCACTTCCTTTTTAGTCTTTTCTTCACTCTTTTCTGCAGTCTTAGCTTTCTTCTGTTCTGTATAAAGTTAAGAGATGTTGAAATATTTTTGTTTATTTACAAACATAATGTTTCATCTGTACTATGTCATTAAGGAAAATTGGAAAAGAAAGAGGGAAGAATGGAAAACAATGAAAAATACTGTTCTTAACATAAACACTTGTGACTTACCAGAGTTTTATAGTTTATAAAGTGCAATATTAGATAGACTACTAAAAGTGTTGTGGCTCTAATTTGTACATGAAAACACTATTTTTTAAGGCAATAGTAACTTAGCATGTCAACAAGGAGGCATTTGTAGTATGCAGTGGATGGATATACAGGCATGTTCAGTGAAAGACAATGTCCATACCAAAGAGTCCAGTGAAGTAGTCTCCTTTTATAAGCACGTGATCATTTTGCTCCATAACTGAAAGATCTTAAGGGTCATTCAAGAAACTGAAATGCCAATAGTCTTTTTTAAAGACAACAATTAGGAATGCAAGTGTAAAATTATCCACATTGGTGTTGACTAATAGAAATAAAACAATAGAATCCATTAGAGGATAACTGAGAGACATATAGTCTCTAATGATTTGGCTTTAGAAAAACTGAAAGTGCAGAAATTGAGATATTGGCTCCTATATATCTTAAGTCAGCGATAATTCTACTAGTTTTTAAAGTCCTTAAATGTATCCTGAGAAATTCAAAGGGCTATAAATAAAAATATATATGAATAGATACATAAATTAGAATATATATATATATTACACACATATATTCTTAATTTGATATTATCTGCATTTTGGAAGAGGGAACTGGGATGCAAATTAACTAGTCTGTGGATCATTCAAGCATCTTTTAAAAAGCAATAATAATGCAGCACATAATGTGTGGAAAATTGTTCATAATAGATGCTGCGTATTGGACATTCCTTATTATATGTGACTACACATAACCACTATATGCCACAGCAGCTCTACTGCAATGTTGGAATCCTCCATGTCATTTGCTAATGTACTGTGGAGGCTTTATTGTCACCCATGTTAAAGAATTTGATGAAGGCCGGGTGTGGTGGCTCATGCCTGTAATCCCAGCACTTTGGGAGGCCAAGGCGGGCAGATCACGAGGTCAGGAGATCGAGACCATCCTGACTAACATGGTGAAACCCTGTCTCTACTAAAAATGCAAAAATTAGCTGGGCTTGGTGGTGCATGCCTGTAATCCCAGCTACTCAGGAGACTGAGGCAGGAGAATCACTTGAACCCGGAAGGCGGAGGTTGCAGTGAGCCGAGATTGGGTCATTGCACTCCAGCTAGGGTAACAAAAGCGAAACTCCGTCTCAAAAAAAAAAAAAAAAAAAAAAAAAAAAAAAAAAAAAAAAATTTGATGAAAAAATGTAATCAAGTTTATTGACTTTGGTACCCTAAATGATGATTTCAGGCTAAACCAAGATAATATCAAAAGGTGCCATTGAGATAATGAAAATGATAATGCCAGATGCTGGTTAGCTTGCAAAACAAAAATGATCTGTGGTACTGCACTTAATTGACTATGCCAGCACTTCCCAAAACACTGTTTCTCAGATACTTCAGATATTTACAGGAAGATGTTGATACTGTATTAGGTGCTGGAAAATATTCTCATGACCAAATTCATTTGGAAACCATAAGCTAACCTGGTCATTTAACTTGGACTTTCTCAAAACTGAAGTGTATTGAGAATTTTTAAGAAAGGGAATTATGATATACATTATTCAATATTGTTTAATCATAAAATTATCATACAAATATTACCCAATGACTGCATAATTTTTTTTAAATTGAGATGGAGTCTTGCTTTGTCATCCAGGTTGGAGTGCAATCGCATGATCTTGGCTCACTGCAACCTCTGCCTCTCAGTTTTAAGCAATTCTCCTGCCTCAGCCTCCCAAGTAGCTGAGATTACAGGCTACCGCCACCAAGCCTGGTTAATTTTGTATTGTTAGTAGAGATGGGGTTTCACATGTCCATAAACTTTCAACATCTTTGTGGCTTCTATGACTACACTCAGGGGATTTTCTTCTTCTTCCTGTAAATCATTTCTAAACCTCCTTTGCTGGTTTCTGCTCTTTCCTGCAGTAAACTCAAACATTTCTGTGACTGAAACCAGCAACTTTCTGCACAGGACTTTAAATTGAAATCATACCAGAATTCCACACTGGAATGTTTATTAGTGTCTGTCTGGGAAGAAAGTTTCACTGGAATGGTCAACAGCACCTCAATCTCATACAACTCATTATATGTTCACCTAAAAACACTTCTAGAGACTTTGTGTTGACCAGGACTCATAGCTAATTGCTGGAGCTCTAAAAATCAGCATAATAATAAAACTATCTGAATAAATTTTAGCATAGCAAAATTAAAACCCTGCAGTATCTGACTTCCTCCTATCTCCCATCTTACAGCATCTTTCCAAAAATTTATTCTTCTACTGAACAGCTTTCTTTCTTTTGAATATTTTATGTATTTTTCCATGTGTCAAATATTGTCGGATTGAATTCTCTATATTTTCTATATTTTTCCACATATTTAAATTTCTTTCTTTCTTTTTTTTTGTTTTTTTTTGTTTGTTTGTTTTTGTTTAGACAGACTCTCAGCTCTGTTGCCAGGCTGGAGTGCAATGGCATGATCTCGGCTCAGTGCAACCTCCGCCTCCCGGGTTCAAGCCACTCTCCTGCATCAGCCTCCTGAGTAGCTGGGATTACAGGCATGTGCTACCATGATCCACCATGATCGGCTAATTTTTGTATTTTTAGTAGAGATGGGGTTTCACCATGTTAGCCAGGCTGGTCTTGAACTCCTGACCTCAGGCAATCCGCCCACCTCGGCCTCCCAAAGTACTGGGATTAAATTTCTTCATGGTCAATTCATATGCAAAAAAAAAATGGCTCTCCCAATTGAATTAATAGTGTTCCCCCTGAGCTTCCATTTGCCTGAATTTTTATTAAAGTATACATTTTATTCTTCATTATATATCTTGAATTATAGATAGTTTGATCTATCGGTCTTCCCTACCAGACAGAGAGTGCTTGGGGGTAGGAATTCTATTATTCATTTTTGTATCACCATAGTGTCTAGCACAATGCTTTTTTCAGGGAAAACACAGGATAAAGGTATACTTGATTAGGAATTTTGATGAAGGAGAGAGTAAATATTCCACTATACTCAGTCATATGTATAATATAGTGATATAGAGACTGCATATGTACATATGTGTTTAGAAATAAACTTGTCTAAACCTGTTAAATTTGACAGCTTTTGTTTGTTTATACTAATTGGTGTGAAATTGCTATATTTGCTTACTCTAAATGACAGCTATTTACTCCTTGTAAGCTACAGTTGATTTAACCTTAACTTGTAGTATGGAATTATAGATGTGTGAAATTCAGATTTATTTTTAATGCCATTATAATTTATAAGTGGGCAATTATTATTTTCTAAGAGGTAGAACCACATATATAGCCAACTCATTATAATCGTTGACTTTAAGTATAAAAATAATAAAATATTTTCTACCTATTTTAGACACTTTTCAATCACCTTCACCCTGGAAATAGATAACTTTGCCTTATACTAGAAAAAAATGAGTGAGAACTAAACAATGATGTGGCTATAATAAAGAAAATATCATGAAACTAAAGCAACACCCAACTTCTATTTAGTTTTAAGTTGAGTAGATATTCTTCAATTTTGTGCCAAAATATTTTTCCTGATTTTTCCCTAAAGTAATTTAAGTGATGAACTTTATTAAGGAATGAAAAAAATAAAAAGTATTGCCATGGGTATTCAAATCACCCGGTTTTATTTAGGAAGGCATTTTATTCATGACTTTTGTCAAATGGAAAATAAAATGGCTAAATCAAAAAAATTACATCAGCATATTTCATTAGATCTTGGAATTAGCATGATCCATTAGCTACTGCATCAGATTCAGAATGTCTGATGCCAAAGTATTAAATAGAACAATATCCCTCAATAAACATACTACACATGTTGGGAGTTAGAAAATAACAAATTTTATATCTCATTCCATAAAGAAATGCAAACTGCTTAACTTATCTTTGCTTCAGTTTCTTTGCATTGAAAAAAAAAAGAATCGCCACTATAGCTGCCTCTTCCTCTATGGAAGCTGTGGAGATAAGTAACACTGAGCAAACAAATTTGAATTCTGCAAAATAAGTACATAAACATTTCTAATATTATATCTGCATAATCCGCATGTCTAGAGCTCTTGGAGTTTCCCTAGAACTTGCTCAAAGTTTAACGTACAGCAAAAATTACTATTTCATTATTATTTTACATTTGAAAAATCTAAGTATCAAAAAGCCATTTATCAAAGATGGTGCAACTAAATGAGTCAGGAGTAGAAAGAGTAGAATCAGAATGACTAACCCAATTTCTAATCACAATAAATTTCACACTTATTAATATTAACCTGAAAAGATGATACAAAAAATGTACTTTAAGACATATAAGGGCAGATGTAAATATACATGAACCATGTGAAAGTGACAAAATGTCTTCCTGAAAGTGACCAAGGAAACAATAACCTCTCTTCATCAAACACACAGACATCTGAAGGTCACACTGACATCCACATCAAATAGACAGCCTGGCCCAAACTTAGCTCACCTCACTCAACTTCTCTTTTCATCATTGTTTTCTTCTTCTTCTACCCTGTCTTTGTTATTTTTAATGAACTACAGAAATAGGCTAGTTTTCTCAGTGGATATGGGGTCCTACATATGTATCAAGGTAGACATTAAAGGTCCACTCTTCCCCAGGAGAAATCCCTGAAGTGTTCTAACCAGTGACTGCCTTTCAGCAAGCAGTATGCAACAGAGCAAGAAACATGCTGGGTTCTATGCAAGTGCCTCTGGAAATCACAGCTCTTCAAAGGGAGATTCTACTTTAACTGATCACACCTTTCAAAGATACTTTATAATTTTTTCTATCTTTAATGTCACATAGAAGGCTTATGACTTTTTATCTTATTTTGTTTCACCAGAAACCACCTATTATATAAAGAACACTTTCTATTAATTTCTTATAACATAATACATATACATATAAAATAAAAATAAAAAGTATATACTGTATACAAACATGTGTACACACATACACATACATATACATGTTGTAAACAGACACATATATACTTATGCATACATATATATACACATATATATGTATGTTTGTGTGTGTATGTGTATGTGCATGTGTACCTCCCCCAGAAGAATGATGTAAATATGTAAATGGAAAGTATTTATGGCAAGCAGACTCAAGATGGCCCCCAGTGACTCCCAACTTGTGGCATTCATATCCTTGTGCAATCATCTTCCCTTCAATATGGGTTGGCCTAGGAATTTGCTGCTAACCCATATGGCAAAGGTGATTGAATATGACTTCCATGATTAGTCTAGATAAGATTGTAATTTCTGTCTTCCTGTTTCTCTCTCATTAGGTTTAATGAAGCCAGCTGTCATGTTCATAGGATTCATATGTCAAGGAACTAAAGATGGTCCATAGCCAACAGCCAGCCAGGAACTGATTGACTAGTAGTCCTCGAGGAACTGAATCTCACTAACAACCGTATAATGAACTTAAAAATAGTGCTTCCTCAGTTGAACTTTCAGATGAGACTGAAGTCCTAGTTAACACTTTGTTTGCTGCCTTGTAAGATTGCGAAACAGAGGCCTGAGCTAAGCCATGCCCAGATTTTTGATCCACAGAAACTGTGAGATAATAAATGTGCATTGATTTAAGCCTCAAATGTTGTGGTAATGCTCTACAAAGCAATGCGTAACTAATGCAGTATTCAACAAATTTTTGGAAAAACTGTGATGCTTGAAGACATGTATTTAATTATTTTTGTGAAGAATACTCAATTTATACTTACCGCACCTGGGTTTTTAGTCTTACCCCAATCATAAAGTAGTTTTATGACCTGGCAAAAATTTGTTTCTCTCTCTCTAGAGGTCACTTTCTTCATCTGTTAAACTAGGCAATTAATTTATGTGATCTTTAAAATGTCCACTAGATTTCATACATCTATCACGTAAGATTCCATGTATATGTAATGAAAATAAATTATATATATGCAAAATGTGTTTTCATTTATATTTATGAAACAGGAGAAACAAAATAAAATTACTTTTATTTACTGTAATTTAATCTTGAAAGTAAATTCATGTTATCTTCTAAAAATGTTTCAATTTACAATTCATCCATATTAAATTTAATAAAATGATATTTGGTTATCTAATGGAAGATTTATTGAAAATATATCTGCTTCAAATATCTCATTATTTTACATTTAGTAGATAATCAAACTAAATCTTAAAAATGCTTCTAAGTTTTACCTACATGGGTAGTTTCTTAAAACTACTGAATTGAAGCTTCTAGCCGATCGCCGAAAATGTATATTTAAAAAAAAAAGGGAGAAGTTTAAATGTAGGGAATAGGATTAAATTATCAAATAAACTCCATTTTTTTCTAGTAATTGGCAGATAAATTTAATACATAAAAACTTTGTTATTCAATATGCCAAAATATATAATATTAAAGTGATATACTAATGAATATATTTGGCATATTATTATGGTACTTTCAGTTCTCAAACTTTTAAAGTAAAAATATTGATCAAGATTTATGTATGACCACTTTCTTTTTTTATTTAGACAGTCTCACTCTGTTGCCCAGGCCGGAGTGCAGTGGCACTATCTCAGCTCACTGCAACCTCTGCCTCCAGGTTTCAAGATATTCTCCTGTCTCAGCCTTCCAAGTAGCTGGGATTACAAGTGTGTGCCACCACACTTTGCCAATTTTTAAATTTTTACTAGAGACAGGGTTTCACCATTTTGGCCAGGCTGGTTTTGAACTCCTGACCTCAAGCGATTCACCTGCCTCAGCCTCCCAACATGCTGGGATTACATGTGTGAGCCACTGTGCCCAGCCAATTCTTTCTTTTTGATACAAGAAAATAATTTACTGTGCAGAAGTTGCCTATATGTCCATTTTTGCTTTGGTTACCTATGCTTTTGAGGTCTTGCTCAAGAAATCTTTGCCCACACCAACGTCCTAAAGCATTTCCCCAATGTGTTCTTCAAGTAGTTTCATAGTTTCAGGTCTTACATTTAAGTCTTTAATTCAGTTTGATTTGATTTTTGTATATGGTGAGAGATAGGGGTCTAGTTTCATTCTTCTACATAATCGGTTTTCCTAGTACAATTTATAGAAGAGACTGTCCTTTCCTCAACATATGTTCTTGGTGCTCAGTGGCAAAATAGAATGACTATAGTTAACAATAATTTATTGTATATTTCAAAATAACTAGAGAGTGAATTTGGAATGTTCCCAACTCAAAGAAATAATAAATGTTTGAGGTGATGGATATCCCAATTACCCTGATTTGATCATTATATATTGTATGCTTGTATCAAAACATCACATGTACCCCATAAATATGTACAACTACTATGTACCTATAAATATTGAAAATAATTTTTTAAAAAGAAAATTCTGAATTTGAGTATTCTAAAATCAAATTCAAGGTATAATACTGGTGAAAAATTGTGAACCAAATATGTTATTTTAGTTTCTTTATTGTTGTGGTAACAAATTACAACAAACTTAGCCAATTAAAATAACACCCACTTATATTATCTTCCAGTTTTTATGATTCCAAAGTGTTGGCTCAGCATGGCTCTACTGAATTCTCTGCTTAGGGCCCACAAAGCTGAAATCAAATTGTCACCTAGTCTTTGTGTTTTACTGGAGACTAGAGGAAAGAATTGGCTTTAATGCTTATTCAACATGGAGGCAGAGTTCATTTTCTTCTCACGTTTTCAAGCCAGCCAATGGGCAAAAGTCCTCATACTTCAAATCTCTTTGTTGTCTGCTGAATCTCTCCACATTTAAAGACTCATGGTATTACATTGAACCCACCTGGATAATCCAGGATAACCTCCCTATTTTAGAACAATCTTCATTGTCTCTGCAATTTTTTTTTTTCCATGTAATATAACATAGCCACAGGGATGACACCAAGGGGTGAATGAGGGTCATGGGGCTCAAAATTCTGTCTACCACATATGATGAAGCTCTTCATTTTCCTCTCACATTTTGAGATTCTCTAGTAATTGCTCAGTTTAATTATTCTTTTAGATATTAAATTTTAAATGTAAGACCAAATTAACTTTTTAATGTAAATAAAATGATAAAAGTTTACAAATATCCAACTATCTATTACCCAAAAATTAATTTTTCAAAGTAAAAAGAATTTAGTTATGGAAATAATAAATTGAAAAGTTACCTTTTGCCACTGTCTTTGTTTCTGGTTTTTCTTTTTTCTCAATTTTTTCCTTGTGAGTTGCTTAAACAGAAAATTTTACATTAGTACACAGTTTTAATAGATTTCAAAACCAAGCTTTCTTTTGACCTCAGCTTCATAAGTGCTAAAACCTAATATGTAATATTTTGAAAATTTATGACATTAATAAGTCTAATTCAGAAATAAAGAGTTACCAATGTAATAACAGTTGTATAGAATTCAATGTAAAAGTCTAGGCATTAAGATTTAGCTTTTTGAAAATCAGATCCACTCTTTTTCAAGTCATTATTACAAATAGATAAAGCTTTCAGGGAAGACAAACTGAGAGGGAAAATTTTTTATAAGAATTTGTCAAAAAATATATCATTATGTTTATTTTTAAATTTCAATTAAATTGTGTCATTTGGTAGATTACCAAATAATCATACATTTTTTCAATATTTACATACTACTTTTTCAAGAATAACAATGGTAATTAAATAAACTATGAAAATTAAGTAGTAAAATATGAGATTTAATTGGACAGTTGAGGCCGGGCACGGTGGCTCAAGCCTGTAATCCCAGCACTTTGGGAGGCCGAGGCGGGCGGATCACAAGGTCAGGAGATCGAGACCACAGTGAAACCCCGTCTCTACTAAAAATACAAAAAATTAGCCGGGCACGGTGGCGGGCGCCTGTAGTCCTAGCTACTCAGGAGGCTGAGGCAGGAGAATGGCGTGAACCCAGGAGGCGGAGCTTGCAGTGAGCCAAGATCGCGCCACTGCACTCCAGCCTGGGCAACAGCGTGAGACTCCGTCTCAAAAAAAAAAAAAAAAAAAAAAAAAAAAATTGGACAGTTGATAAAGTATATGTATTGAATTACTAGAGAAAAAATTAGTTCCACAGATTTCCATTTCTCTAACGTATAACAAAAATAGTAAGAATGTACATCAGCTTTACTTACATCATCAAGAAATGTTTAAAATATGTACTCAAAAATCTATTATTTTTAAATACAGTTGTTGAATAGTGTCCTCCAGAATCTTGGAGAGATGATTTAAGCCTTAGAAAGCCTAATGTTCAGTTGAAGACCAGTGTCCCTGACAGATGCAGAGTTGCTGAGAGCCCAAGTGCCTCCTCCTCCAGAGTTTCAGCCTCTCCACCACTCAGGCCTGCCCACAGCCACCTCCACTACCACTTGGGATTATGCATAATATATTAGACAATGTTAACAAAAGGAGCATTATGCTAGGCTAAGCAAGGCACTAGTCACATAAGGTCACAGGATTACATTATAATAACATATCTCCTAAAAAGTAAACATCTTTTAATTGGCATAAGGTAAATAAAAGAGCACTTACAATGTAGCATTTTATTTCTGCTTTTCAATTTGAATACATTTTTCTGCAGCACTTATAATTTAAGGGCAAAAATTCCTAACTTTTTTTTTTAATAGAAAACATTTAGCTACTGTGAAGTTTGAAAAAAAAATCACAAGGAATAGCTGATTATTTCATTAAGTCAGAATACACAGAACCTAGTGCTAATAATTCTGCTTAACCCAATAGCAGACAAGAAAAGGTCATCTATTTCTAGAACAGAGAAAGGAGATGGTTGTATTGAAGTTCATGGAAATTGAACATGAAGAAAATATGATAAGAAAATAAGAAAATAAACATGAAGAAAACAACAACTATTTAATTGAAATTTTCTTTTTTTTTTTCTGTAGGTTATTGGGGTACAGGTGATATTTGGTTACATGAGTAAGATTTTTAGCGGTGATTTGTGGGATTTTGGTATTTTTAAGTGTAAATATACCATAAAAAATATTGAAACATATTTCAACTGATCTGATTCCTAAATGTCATAATGTGTTCTACCTAACTGGAGTGTTTAACAAAACAAAAACTTCAGCAGACTATGCATAGTCTGGATGCATAAATCAGCTGAAATCTGGCCCGGTTATCCTAGACACAATCCACCATAAAACAATAGCAAAAATTAAGTTAGAATTTTACTTCACATCATACATTGAGATGGATTTTTGAGGAATTAACGTTCATTTAAAATAGGAAACAATCTTTTTTGGATGGGCACTGTGGTTCACACCTGTAATCCCAGCACTTTGGGAGGCTGAGGTGAGCAGATCACTTGAGGTCAGGAGTTCGAGACCAGCCTGGCCAACATGGCAAAACCCCATTTCTACTAAAAATACAAAAATTATCCAGGTGTAGTGTGTAGTGGCACATGTCTGTAGTTCTAGCTACCAGAGCTGCTGAGGCATGAGAATCTCTTGAACCCTGGAGGCAGAGGTTCCAGTGAGCTGAGATTGCACCACTGAACTCCAGTCTGGGTGGCAGAGTGAGACTCTGTCTCAAAACAAACAAAAACAAAAACAAAAACAAAAATCTTTTTTCAACTTGAGAAAAATATTAGTGGCTATTGAATTAATTATTGAATGAAGATTCAAAGCCAGAAACACCACAAGAAAATATCAGCATATCTAACCACCTAAAAATTCAAGAATCTAAACATATGCATACATGCATACACACATATATGAACTCACACATATCCGTTCACAAAGACAGAAAGCAAAATATTAACTGTAAAACAAAGTCAGAAAAATATTTGAAAATAAGTTATAGATGAAGGGGTATACATATCCAAAACACACACACACACACACACACATATCATTTGAAGAAATGGGCAGTGAGTATGAACAGTTACACATGATATATACATCGCTAAAAACCATATTTGAATCTTTCAACTTATAAATAGTAAGAGGTTAAAAATACTTTGCAGAGACATGGATGAAGCTGGAAGCCATCATTCTCAGCAAACTAACACAGGAATAGAAAACCAAACACTGCATGTTCTCACTCATAAGTGGGAGTTAAACAAGGAGAACACATGGACTCGGGGTAACATCACACAGTGGGGCTTGTCGGGGGTTGGGGGCAAAGGGAGGGAGAGCATTAGGACAAATACCTAACTCATGCAGGGCTTAAAATCTAGGTGACAGGTTGATAGGTGCAGCAAACCATCATGGCACATGTACACCTATGTAACAAACCTGGATATGTATCCCAGAACTTAAAGTAAAATTTTAAAAGAAGAAAGAAAAACTAAGAAAACATGATACCTTCAAAGGAACACAATAACACTCCAGTAACAGGCCTCCAAAAAAGGGAAATCTATGAAATGCCTTCCAAAATAATAATCATGAGGAAACTCAGAGAGAAATAAAGAGAACACAAAAAATAAAAAGGAAGGAGAAAAATAATTCACGATCTGAACATGAAATTCAGTAAACAGATAGATATCATAAGAAAGACCCAAACAGAAATCCTAGAACTGAAGAACTTAATGAATAAAATAAAAAATAAAATTAACCTTAACAATTAACTAGATTATCAGGAAAAAATACAGAGGAAGAACATTCTCATTTAAACACTATGCAGCTTTTTAAAGAGAATGAGAACAATATTTAGTGATATGAAAATATTTCAGGATGTATTGTTAAATTGTAAAAGTCAGGTTATAGGACATACTAGATTTTGTGTAAAAATAGCAGGAAAATAACATGTACTATCTGGAAAACACATAATAAAGCTCTGGTAGGATGCATGTAAAATTTACGGAGTGGTTTACTGTGAGTATGTGGGTTTGGCATGATATGGGAATCAGTAGGCTGGGAGCAAGGTAAGAGGAAGGTTTTCACAAAGTATCTTTATGTGTAGAGCAATTAGATCTTATTATCTATTCTACATAAATAAATAACAATTAGAAATTAAAGCAATCTAATAGATAATCAAAATATGCAAGTTACAATAATGACATCTACTTTCTTACCTATCAAACTGACAAGTACTTCTGATATAGTACCCTCATTGCTGTCTAAGGCAGTCTGAAAACTGCCAGAGGAAAAACTGACACAACATTTCTGGAAAGTAAAGTGGTAACTGAATTCAACAGCCTTAAGTATTTATCTCAATTCAGAAATTCCTTTTTTCAGATTCTAGTCAGAGAAAATAATCCTAATTTAATTTGTAAAACTGCGTGGTCATCTAATATCTGAATGTAAAGAGTAGGAAGTCAATGGGAAAGGAATCAGTGTGTTAAAACAGTAATAAAAATAACTTCATACCTTTCTTTTCAGGTTTTTCTTTTTCTCTTACTTTTTCTTTTTCTTTGTGTGTAACTAAAAAGAAACAGATAAATAGTTTTCATCTAAATAACAGGAATAAATGAGGAGATGCTTGCATGGCAGTTTTTTATGTCAAAAACTTACCTGCTACTTTTAGAAATCTTTCTTTAACTGGATTGAGATTTTATGTAGTTAGAAGTTTAAACTTCAAGATAATTATAGATTTATTTCTTATTTCTATTTTTATTTCATATCCTCCAAGCACAAACTAGTACCTAAACCAAGTTTGATTGCAAAGATAATAATACCCGTCAGCTTTTCCAAATCCTTAATTGAAATAATTGGAAAATTTAAAAAATTATCATGCTATATGCCAAAGGAGCCTGGCTTTGATATTGGATGAATGCCAGAAATATGAGGATGAAAATATAGAGAAATAATTTTCTGATCTTGAAGCAGAGAACAATCAACCTAAATAGTATGTATTAATCTTATACAGAAACACTCCACACTAGATGTTTTAAAATATATACTGGAATAAGACTAGAAAATACGAAATCTTTTCAGCAAAAATAAAATTTAACTTAATATGAGCAGTGATCTCATCAATTATTACGACTAAAATTTAAATCATAATCTTACCCCATACCTTAGTCATAATTCTTATTCATTATCCATGCTAGAAACATGAGACTCATCCCAATTTGTCTTTCTCTTTTATTTTTCCTTTTCATTCATTCACCAAGCTCTTTCAATCATGCCTTTTTAATATTCCTATTACTTGTTTTCTTTTATCCAATATTATTCTCCTTAACTATCACTTATTTACACAAGAATGTAGAAAGAACACCTGCTATGTGCTAAAGACTCTCAACAAGATAGAGTTCATTCCTGTCGCCATGATGTCAATAAACTAATGATTAGTGGATGCTAAGCAAATAATTATAAAGGTAGGTAATTGCAGGGAGTCAAATTGCTATGAAGAAAAAATGCAATGTGGAATGTTGATGTATAAAATGACCTAATCTAATCTGTTTGTTGGGGAGGAGTCCTTGGTAGAAATGACATTTAAGAGTATGAGAAATGAGAAGAAATTAACCTAGTAAGAGATTAGGAGGGCAAAGGGGAAGAGACCAATTTCCAATTCAGCAGTTGAAGCAGGATGTCTCTTTTGGGCATATTATTTTACCTATCATAATATTATAATATCCTGACCTCTCTTTTGAACTTTTAGATTTTAGATTTTTATGTCCCATATTAACCTTTCTAACATGAAAATCCGATATCATTCACTCCTCTGTTACAAATGTTAGTGCCTCCTCACTGCTTAGCATGGTATCTGTCACATAGTGGGTGCTATATCAAAATAAAAATATTTTACTGCTCTAGTGATCTGACATTTGCTTACCAACCCCGTGTTTACCAACCCAATGTCATCTGCAAAGAATTTCTCCTTGAACTTTATACTCTAGTTATAACTAAATGCTAGTAGTTCCACAAGCACACCATGTGCCCTCATGATGTTTCCGTGTCTCTGCCTGTGTGTGTCTTCCACCTAGAATTACCACACCCACATTTATTCATTTTCCTTTCCCTATTCCATGCACTCTTTCATCTTGGTTCAAATGTCTCCTCTGGAACATTTTCTTTGATCTCTACTTATTCCATACACCAATTGCACCATGTACATAATTTAATAATAATATTGATACTGTTAACATTTCTAACTACTCAGTAAATGAAATCCTTTGGGGCTACACCATATTTATTATTATTATTATTTTACATTTCCAGGTCATCACAAGATCTCAGTCACATAGTGGACTCTGTAATATTTTTGAATAAGTGAAATTCTAAAATATTCTAAGAGCTAGTTTTATTGTCTAGTTAAATTCTATTTATGGATGATGTGGTGGAGCTATAATAGACACTGCTTGCTTCCAATTATGTGAAATTTTTGACAACTCATTAAAATTTCTCAAATAATTAAAACCTATTGAGAAAAAGGAGGAAAAAACTCACCTTAGAACATTAAGATTTTTTTTTTCCACATCTAATGGTTCTTTTAGTTGTTTCTGAGCTACTAAGTTCAATATAAATAACTCACAAAATAAGGCGAGGAAATCACTATTCATACTGACCACAAACGGTTTATTTTGGTTCCTTTGAATCCCTATTAATTAAGCAGAAAACCAACAGAAAATTTTGGCAAAAACAAAGCTTCTTTTAAAGCTTCTCTGGGGGGACCCAAGTTTGTGTGAGATAAGCTGTGCTTTCAGAGCCCCGATTGGAAAGACCTCCCAGGGAAACACCTAATCTCTGTCTCTGCCTCTGTAAGAAATGAGGACTCACCCACCTTGGACAGCTGGTTGTCCATTTCACTAAAGGATTTTCAGATTGACGTGTGCATAGGCATAAACGGGAGAATTAACGCAAAATCAAAAGAGCAAAGGGACTGAATTCGGACTCAAATTAGCATATTCATGCCTCATTCCTGTTACCCTAGGGAGAAATCTAGTTCCTCCCAGTTGAAGTGTTGATTTACAGACCCTGTACTGTATGCTAGCATTTTATTATCCCCCTCAGAAATGGCATCACAACACTTCGTAGTGAAGCAGCTGGACCCTTGGGCCCTAGGGAGCTTTTCATAATGGCAGACGGCCACCGAAGCTTCTTGGACAGAAACTACAAACTTTGGCAAGACTGTGCTCAAATACCAAGTTGTGAAACGACTTTCAACACAGCAATGCAACAATCAGCAACTGCCCTGGTAATCACTCTAAAATAAAAATCACCTGATACAACAGCTGCATTTGTTTGAGCGTCTCTTTGCTTAGAGCCCACAACCAGGAGATTTCATATGGAAGAAGAGTACCTCCTTGTCACCAGCCCTGTTTGGCAAGTTATATCTTAGCCAGCACAGTTTTTAGCTCAGGACGGAATAAGCTTCTTGCACCTGCTAGAGTTTAATTTGTTTGTCATCCTTATTTACAAGAAACAAAAGTCCCTTTGGTATGCTGATAATTAAAAACAAATGGAATCCACCAGTTGGAATGGCGCTGATGTCTGGTATCTGAGTTGGCACGGTCCTGCTATTCCTACCCTTGCCCAGACTCTGACCTTTCCCTGACCAGAACATTCAGCTCAACTGGACCCAAGCACATCTCTCACCCTCCCATCTGGCCCTTTTCCAGCCCTCCCCAATCTGTGCTCTGTGCTTTTGCTTTTGACCCTGGTAGTTGCCAGGCAGACTATGTCTTTTTCTCAGGTATATCAGAGCTCATAATCTGCCTGACCCTGTTTTTTTTTTGTTTTTTTTTTTGTTTTTTTTTTCCACAGGGAAAAACAGTCTCTTGGGGTCAAATAATGAGAGGTAATGAGAGCCAGATTGTCAGAGTTCTTTACTTAATCTTCCTGTTCTTAGCTTGAAAGTCAAAAATTGTAATGCCAATATTTTTAAAGTACTGATTAGTATAGGCTACTACATTCTTCAATTGATGGCTAACAAATAAATTTAACCAAACTCTAGAACATACTTAACTTTAGACTATTGTATAGGACTAATCTTAAATACCCAACCGCAAAAAAAAAAAAAAAAAAAAAAAAAAATATCAGAGGGATAAGCAGGTAAGCATTACACCTTTTCATTATTAACAACAACAACAAAATACTTTGAGGATCCTCTCATTTTCACATTTCTTGTGCTTTTTTGGTAGGTATTAGTGCTAAAATAGTCTACAGACTTTAAGTGGGTGAACATTGCAAACAGCTTCATAAAATTCATATGTATTTATATTCTAATTTGTAATGTTTTATGAAAGAGCATGATACAAATTCATCTTAAACCCTTAAAAAAATTCCGTTTTAGCCACCAGTAAATGATAAGGCCAGATCTTTTGGTTAGTGTCTATGTCTTTGTGTGTATGTTTCTTTTTTATTTTGGGTAGCTAATTTGTAGAAGTTCAGTTCCGTGGTAAGGCAAGATGATCTCGATGCTTTTTAAGAGACAATCATAAACTCCATAGAAATGCAATATTAGTTAAAAATCTTCTTAAATATTATATTATCCATTTTTCCTAAAGGAAGAATTTATTATTTTAACTTTAATACAAGCATGTAATTTTGGAGCTGATAGGAATATAAGAGGTAACTACCCTGAACTTCTTTGTCCACGGATAAGAAAACATGCTCATAACAGTCCATGACAGACCAGGAAAAGAATGTAGTTATCTAATTGCTAAAACAGTACTCTTGCTTCAAAACTACACTGTTATGTCCGTCCCAGGTTCTGTGCAGACTGTAAACTCGTTCTCATGAGCCAAATTGTGCTGATAGAATTCTCCAAGCACATTGTCTGTGATCTACCTTCCAATAGTGTACTTACTTATTTTTCATAATAAAAGTACTTTTATTTACCTATTAAAGTGAAGATTTGGCAAATTACCCAAAGTTGTAAAACTAATCTGATACTTATGCATTAAATCACAAAAGATATTTTATAATTCTAAAATATTAGTTTTATTTTCAAATTCAATTTAATTGTATGGACAATTTCCCCTTCTCCTGGGGCTACATAGCCATAGTAAGAACTGCAATCGCTTTCTCATAAGTGAACATTCACTATGGACACTGTGATGCGTAGCTTTGTGCACACTCTTCTGGCTTCCTTGTCCAGGTTTATTTTTCATGATTGCCAGACAGGGAAAGAAAATATATTTTGTACTCTAAGGAGTTCATTAAGTGCAGCTAAGAGAAGACAAAAGTAAAAGTTTATACAGTAGAGGATGACTAAATGAATTTGTGGGCTTTAAGAGCATTTTTATAAGGGGGTTCAGGATATTTAAACACATTTTAATGTATTTGATTACATTTTGACTTTTCAGCCTCACCATCAGCTAAATCCCTTGTCAGCCTATGATTCCAATCTTGCAATTTGTTTCCCAAAAACTGAAGGAGTTCTAGACAAATCAGTGTTATTATTCTGAATCACCCTTTTTAAAAACTCCTTTCGATTTTTTTTGTGTGTGCATGTCATATTGTTATGGGTTGAATTG